CAAAGGGATTGGGCCCAGTCAGAGCTAGACACAGGCACCACCCCACTCCCTTGTTCCCTTGTCCTATTCACTCTGCCCTTTTGGGTTTAAGAAAATTAAGTAGAAAACTTCCTTTTCTCTTTATTGTAGAATCAGAATGGTCTCTGTTATACCTCCCAAGATGCTACTGTTACTCAAAATATGTTCATTGCCTAATCATTTCTGTTTCCTAGAGACTTTCCAGGTAGCTAATCGATTTAGAAAAATAATTATGATAGCCTAGTGTTAAATTTGATTTTGATTTAACATTTATTAATTCAGCCATTAGTTTGCTTTTAAAGGAAAATACATATTACTAACATGCTTATAACATATAGTCATTACAACTAATTTCCCAAATTATAATCAATGTTCATCACAATTACCAACATTTTACATAAATATTGTAATAGCAATGTTATGCCTGGTCCCATATCAATAACACCAGACTAAATTTACATGCTGAAATTGGGTACAAGGTGCTATAGGTAATTGATGGAACATTTCTGATACATAAGTAATTTCAAGTAATGGAATCATTAGTATTTTTTACCCTATTCAACTTTTGCAAACTAGCTCTGAAAGATTTTTATTAGGTGAACTGGGACCATTGACTTCAATGTTATTGCTACACGAAGGCTGTGCTGGAATTAATCTTGTTGCTGAAGTGCTGCAAATGCTAAGACCAGATTTTCATGGGGTGATCTGAAACTGCCATCCACAGAAGAAATGTTACAGATGTTACCTGTGATGCTCCCACAGGTCCCCCATTGCTACTGCCACAACCAGGACAAACCCAACTGCCTTTGCCTCTACCACTGCAAGTTTCTTGGTCTACTGGACCTTCTACTCAGTCACTGCCGGCTTCTACTCTTCTCTCTGCCATGCTATTTCTTGGTTTAGTTATAAGAGATATCATGTTGAGCTTCCTGGCCTAGAGTCTTTATTTTAGGTGCACTCAGTCTGCAGGAGTACCTAGTACATGCGAGGAGACACTTTGCTGCTCTGGGAGCCCTGCTCCTGGGGCCACTGACTGATAACCTGGAAGGCGATGCTTTCTTCTCTCATCCTGATTCCTCAATGTCCCTGCTCCTACATAGCCAGCGATGCTCTCTTGAACTTTCCCCCTTTGAAACATGGCAAATTTTGTTGAAAAATAAGTCTATTAACTTAATTTTAATATCTCCTAAGCTCATCTCCTCCTTCTCATCACCAATGCCTCAATTATAGTTTGGGCTTAAGTTAGCTCCTGTTAGGATTCTTGGAATACATAGATGCTAAATAAACTTCTTGTTTCTAGTAACATAGTCCTGATCCCATAACTCCCTTGCTGAAAATTCCTTAAGGACTCCTCACCTCCCACAAGAGAATCCAGCCTCCTTATCATCCTGCCTTAAGTGGTCAGGAGCTGGCCTCTGCCTCCTCATCCAGTCTTCCTTTTTGGCCTTTTTCCTTTGTATTCTAACTTCTAGGTGATTTATAAAAGCTTTCTCTTCATTCCCAGGCTCTGCCTCTGACTCACTCTCCACTGCTTTCCATCCTGAGTGCTTACTCTTAACTAGCTTGTGCTTGTCCTTCATATCTTGTCCATCAATTCCATGGGCATGCTTCCTTGATACAGCCCTATCATTACCTTTCCTTATTGATCCCACTCCATCATCTGCCACTTATCGTGTCACTCAGTGCAATTTCTGATCACATATAAGATTCACCTTCCCCTACTCCCCCAAAGTAAATCATCTCCAATTACCTTGTTTCCCTTATACATAATACATATTTATGATTCTGTAGCCAATTCCAATGTATGTGTGTGTGTGTGTGTGTGTGTGTGTGTGTGTGTGTTTGTGTGATTGCCCCACACAACCAAGCAATTCTCTGACACCAGCTGGGTGTCCTATAATTTAACTCAACTCTGACCTTTTCTACCTGGAGATACAGCCAGATCCTACAGGTTAAGGGCTCAGTCCTACAAGACTGCCCTCCCCTAATTCAGATGCCAATTGCAAGTCCACATTTTCACCAGTGCTTCTGAATGATGGGGTTGAAAAGATAAACAAAATTGACAAACTCTTAGCTAGACTAAGAACAAAAAGAGAAAAGACTCAAATTAATAAGACAACCAGAAGTGAAAGAAGAAACATTGCAACTGGTGCCATAGAAATCAAAAGAATCCTGAGACTATTATGAACAATTCTACTCCAATGGACTGAATAGCCTAGAAAAAAAGTGGATAAATTTCTAGAAACATACAACTTACCACGACTGAATCATAAAGAAATAGAAAGTTTGAACAGACCTATAACGAGGAGATTGAATCAGTAATCAAAAAATCTCTCAACAAAAAAAAAGCAGGACCACGTGGCTTCCCTGGTAAATTCTGCCAAACATTTAAGGAACTAATACCAATCCTTTTCAAACTCTTCCAAACAATTGCAGAGAAAGGGATATTTCCAAACTCATTTATGAGGTCAGCAGTACCCTGGAACCAACACCAGATAAAGGTATCACAAGGAAAGAAAACTACAGACTAATATTCTTGATAAATATACATCCAAAATCCTCAACAAAATCCCGGAAAATTCTAACAGCCCATTAAAATGATCATACAATGTAACCAAGTATCTTTATTCCTTTGATGGAAAGATGGCTCAACATATAAAAATCAATTAATGTGCTATCCCACATTAACAGAGTAAAGAAGAAAAATCACATGATCATCTCAACAGACACAGAAAAAGCATTTGACAAAGTTGAACTTTTTTTCATGATAAAAACTCTCAACAAACAAAGAATAGAAGGAAAGCATCTTCACATAATGAAAGCCATATATGACCAGACCACAGTTAACAATATGCTCAATGATGAAAAACTGAAAGATTTCCCTGTGAAATCAGGAGCAAGGCAAGGACGCCCAAATTGCCACTTTTATTCCACAGAGTACTGGAAGTCCTAGCCAGAGAAATTAGGCAAGAAAGATAAATCAGGTGTTATGATATTATATATAAAAATATCCTAACAATTATACCAAAAAACTGTTAGAACTAATAAATTCAGTAAAGTTGCAAGATACAAAATCACATACAAAAATTATTGTGTTTCTATACACCAACAATGAATTATCTGAGAAGAAAACTAGGAAACGGATCCCATTTACAATAGCACCAAAAAGAGTAGAATAAAAAACTGGGAATAAATTTAACTAAGCAGGTGAAAAGCTTGAGTACTAAAAACTGCAAAACACTGATGAAAGAAATTAAAGAAGACACAAACAAATGGTAAGTTTATGAGTTGGAAGGCTTAATATTGTTAAAATATTCATACTACCCAAAGCTATCTGCAGATTCACTACAACCTTATCAAAATCCCAAGTGATATTTTCTACAGGTAGAAAAAAATTCATATGGGACCACAAAAGACCACAAACATTCAAATCAATACTTAAGAAAGAACAGGGCTAGAGGCATCCTGATTCCTGATTTCAAAGTATATTAAAAAATTATAGAATCCAAACACTGTGGTACTGGCATAGAGACAGACATCAAGACCAGTGGTACAAAATAGGAAGCTTAGAAATAAATCCATACATATATGGTCAAATGATCTTTGACAAGAATGTCAAGAATACACAATGGGAAAGGGAAGGGATAGTCTCTTCAACAAATTGTATTAGGAAAACTGGATAACCACACCCAAAAGATTGAAATTCCATCCTAACCTTATCCTGTATACAATTATCAATTCAACATAGATTAAAGACTTAAACATAAGACCTGAAACCATAAAGCTCCTAAAAGTAAACCTGAGGGGTAAACTTCATGGTATTGGTCTTGGCAATGATTTCATGATATGATTCCAAAAGCAGAGGCAACAAAGAGTAAATAAACAAGTGCTAAATTAAAAAGCTTCTGAGCAACAAAGGATATAATCAGTGGAGTGAAAAAGCAACCTACAAAATCGAGGAAATATTTGGAAACCATGTATCTGATAAAGGGTTATCTCCAAAATATATAAGTCCTTCATCTCCATAGTAAATATCTAACAACCCAATTAAAACATAAGCTGAGGACTTGAATGTGCATTACTCTGAATATATCCAAATGGCCACCAGGTATATGAAAAAAATGCTCAACATCCCCAGTCACCAGGGAAATACAAATAAAAACCACAATAAGGTAGCACCTCAACCCATCAGGATGGCTATTACCCAACAAATGAAGTGTTGAGGATGTGAGTAAATTGGAACAATTGCACACTGTCGGTGGGAATCATAGCTGTGCAGCCACTATATGGAAAACAGTAGGGAGCTTCCTCAAATAATTAAAAATAAAAATACAATGTGATTCGGCAATCCCACTTCTGGATATTTATCCAGAGGTATTGAAATCAAGATCTCAAAGAGATATTAGACTTCCATATTCATTATAGCTCTGTTCACAACATCTAAGGTGTGGAAACAGCGTAAATGTCCAGAGACGAATGAATGGATAAAGAAAATGTGGTTTACACACACAACGGAATATACTATTTATTTTTAAAAAGAAAAAAAAATGTGCAATATGCAGCAACATGAATGAAACTGAGGACATACTGAGCCATCACAGAGACAAATACCGCGTGATTCCACCGACAGGAATTATCTAAATAATCAAAATCCTAGAGTCCAGTTGCGGCTGGAGCAGGGGGGATGAGCAGTGACCCATGAGCATAAAGTTTCAGTTAAGGAAAAGGAATAAACTCTAGAGATGTGCTGTACAGCATTGTACTTAGAGTCAACAACACTGTAATACACACAATTCTGTTAAGGTAGCTCTCATGCTCAGTGATCTATAATAATAACAACAGCAATAATAATAAGAATAAAAGTCTCAAAAAGAAAAAAAAAGTTATCAAACTACCAACTCAGATTTTCCTTGTAAATAGTCTAAGTCACTTCCCATGTGTCTAAAGTCAAATCATATATTAAAAAATGGTTTAAGACTCACCTCAAAACTCACAGCTCCGTTGTGGTCCGTATCAAATGCATTAAACAGAAAGTGCGCGTACGTTGTCGAGTCTGAAATGTTGGAAAGGGAGTATCATTAAAGCAGTTTTTCTTTTCTTTTCTCTTCCTTCCTTCCTTCCTTCCTTCCGTTCGTTCGTTCTTTCTTTCTTTCTTTCTTTCTTTCTTTCTTTCTTTTTCTTTCTTTCTTTCTTTTAATTTATTTGACAGGAACAGACACAGCCAGAGAGGAAATACAAGCTGAGGGGGAGTGGGAGAGGGAGAAGCAGGCTTCCCGCTAAGCAGAGACCCTGATGCAGGGCTCAATCCCAGGACCCTGGGATCATGACCTGAGCCAAAGGCAGAACTTAATGATTGAGCCACCTAAGCGCTCCTAAAGCGGGATTTCAATATCCTACTGAAGACTGGCACAGCATACTGAAGCCTCTTCTTATTTAGGAAAATTTACTCCATCTCCTGTACTTGTGCTTTCTTCCTGGCTGTGCACCTTCGTTCTGGAGAGGATTGTAATTTGAGATTCCTGAGAGTGAGCTCTTCACACAGAGGCCATTGATGATACACATTCTCGGTAAGGTTGTGGCTAGAAATGCTCTGAGCACCTGGGTGTCTTGGGTGGTGTTTCTGGTGCTGAGATGAGTAATGGTACCATAGGTGGGAGTGAGGAATAAGTGAGACGCATGTGGAAATTGTTTGGTGCTTGGCAGGGGCTATCTCTACAAGTAAACTAATAAAAATACTAAGAGAGATGGGTGTCTGGGTGGCTCAGTCGTTTGAGCATCTGACTCCTGATTTCGGCTCCCGTGGTGATCTCAGGGTCAAGCACCCAGGTGTGCTTGGAACTCATCTGGGAGTCTGCTTGAGGTTCTCTCAGTCTCCCTCTCCCCCTCCCCCTCCCCTGCTCTCTTGCTCTCTCCAATAAATAAATTAATTAAAAACAATACTAATAGTGAGACACACATGAATTGGCATTTTTAGTTTTGTGATTATGAATGTGTTTGTCATTTTTACAACTCAGATAAAGCTAGGGACTCAGAGAGTTTAGGAAACTTGCCCAGAGTAACACAGTCAATTAGGAGTAAAGCAGGATGAAACGGAGTCCTTCTGACTGGAAAATCAGGCTATCCCACAGCCAGTGAAGTGGGCTGATGAACTGAGGACAGGAGTGACTTGGGAAGTTTCTGTGACCATGGTAGGAGTGTGGGGTCCTGAGGGCCCCTGGGCCTTGGGTGGGATTCACGGTTCGGGTAACCGTGGGCATTTTGGGACAGGGCTCCGTCCCTAGCACCTCACAATGCTGCCTGATAACTCTGGAGTATATCTGAGATCCAATGCTTCCACTGAGCTTGCTTTTGATGGGTTTTCCCATTTTTCTTCTTCTCCTTTTCTCTGTGGCCTCCCTTCATCTCTGAGCTTTCTACTTTTTCAGGTTAAAAGTATATTTTTTCTTTTTTTTTTAAGATTTTATTTTATTTTTTTGACAGAGAAAGAGAGAGATTACAAGTAGGCAGAGAGGCAGACAGAGAGATGGGGGGAGGCATGCTCCCTGCTGAGCAGAGAGCCTGATGCGGGGCTCATTCCAAGGACCCTGAGATCATGACCTGAGCCCAAGGCAGAGGCTCAACCCACTGAGCCACCCAGATACCCCAAAAGTATATTTTTTTCTTGCTGTTTTCTTCTCTCAGTGCAGTTTTCATTTTTCAGTGCTTCTGTTCTTGACCCTTGATCAAATTTACTTGATTATTTTAGATGTTTCATCTCATGGTTTCAGCCTTTTACCTTAACCTTTTTTATATTAGGAAAAAAAAAGGTAACCTTTTAGCTCATTGGCTCCAGCCTTTTATCTTTTATTTAAAATTTCATCTGTTTCTATTTTATAACTTTTAACCTTTATTTTTTATTGGGATTGAACAAAACTTCTTATTCACCTTTTACTTTATAAATTGCCTTTTTAAAGGCTGTCAAGAAATTTAAGTCATAGTAGCAGGAGGAGAGGATCGCCCTTCCCAAATAAGGGAGGTCAGAGGTCATAGAAACTTCCCTCCCAGCTCTCAAGCACCCATGGCCCACTTGTGGATGGTTTTTCCTGAATGCTCTACCCCAGTGGTAAATGCTATTGGAGACCATATATTTTACAAGGTAGACTGTACACTCAGTTTCTCAAAATGATGGTGGCATTGTCTTTTACCTCTTTTAAATACGCTGTATGAAACCTCTTGTTTTTAAACATAGGAGTTATTAACACTATTGTCTATGAACTAACCAGGGACCACAATTGGGTCTAAATAATATGTCCTGTAATTGTGTCTTGAGTGAATGTCCACACAGTATTGATGAGTTGTAGAAAGAAATACTTTTAATTATAGGTTATTACTAGGGATTTGGTCATAATCGATATCGTACCGTTCTTGGGAAGTGCCATTACAGAGTTGTCAAGAATCGGCAGCCTGTTTTTATTCACAAAGTTGTTTTGCTCTCAACAGTGCTGTTACACAGACTTCTTGAACTATTTAGTGCCCTATGGTGATAGGAGTTGACAGGCGTTATGTTAAACTTACTTTCCGATGGAGAAAAAAAGAGATTTTGCATATTTTATAATGAGCTTCCATTAAGTAGGTCTCTTGGTATCCTATTTAGACAATCAGGGTACACGCTTTTACCTTAGCAAGCAGGATTTAACATGAATAATGGCTCAGAACAAACAATGTTGGCAATTTTTTTTAAATTAAAAGAAAATAAGCTAACATGAACATACAGTAATTAGCTTTCTTCTTAAATGGGGTCACTCGCTTTAAAGCTTGACACATGGGACAGATACTCTCAAGGTTTGCCCTGATGTGATATAGAGGACTCCTTGTTCCTATAAATGTATCTTGGCAAGTCCCCTGGAAGTTAAACCAGTTTTCCAGCCCAGATATAGTGTGCAGACAACAGTAGTCACTAGTGTAGTGAAGTTGAACTGCCTGGGTTTGAATTTCAGCTCTACCAAACATCAACTGCATGGCTTTGGGAAAGTTGCTTAACCTCTCTGGGACTCATTTTCCTCATCTACAAAATGATAACACCAGTATGTACTTCATAGGGTCATCCCAAAAAGATTAAATGAGATATTAATATGCAAAGTGCTTAGACAGTCCTAAGCATATATTCAATGTTCAATAAATATTATCTATTATAATTATTGTCTCACAGACAACCACCTTAAAGAAATGTGAGTAATTTTTTTACAGATATAATACATTTCTACCAGAAAAAGTTCCTGTTTTTTTGTGAAATCTCTATTGTGTGTCTAGGTGTGTCTAGATTGGAGTTCTAATTTGATGTCAATTCCTGCTCTAAAGACTGGTAGAGGGGTGCCTGGGTGGCTCAGTGGGTTAAAGCCTCTGCCTTAGGCTCAGGTCATGATCTCAGGGTCCTGGGATAGAGCCCCGCATCGGGCTCTCTGCTAAGCGGGGAGCCTTCTTCCTCCTCTCTCTCTCTCTGTCTGACTCTCTGCCTACTTGTGATCTCTATCTGTCAAATAAATAAATAAAATCTTAAAAAAAATTGGTAGGATCATGTCATGAAGTGTTATTGTGACTTCTGTTGGAGTTCAGATTTTTTCTGACAGGCGTCTGGAGACTGTGAAAGTTTCTGAAGAAAGGGAGTGAGGTTCTGAGCTTTGACTGGGTGATAGGAAGGAGCTAAGTCACTGGAAGTCTCTGACTAGACACAGAGGTAGATACATGAAGTAAAGACGAAGTGTCCACAAAGCATCTATGGTCAGGTTTCATCTGATGGTTGTTTTTTTTAGATGCTCAATACACATTTACTAAGACAATGAATAACAGGCATCCTGGATTCTAGATTTCATTATAGTTGGGAGCTCAAAAAAGACAAAACGATCTCTCTTCTCTTCACATGACCCGAAAATCTCCTTTGACCATGTTTCTTTACACATAGCAAAAATAGTTCCTGAGTTTGATATGCTGAGATTGCCTCAGTTTCTTAGAATCTTACTTGTGAAGTAGAAAATTAAATGTAGAACTTTTGTAGTTGGGGAACAACATTTATAGATGCTTAGGACAGGAAGGGATCTTGGATACCATTTAGTTATTTATCTACATTTAACAAAGGTGGAAAATTTTGTAGGTACCTTCAGTGACTTAGCTAAGATTACCTAGTTGGTTAATGATAGAGTTGTTAATGAAATCAAGACATTCCAACACCAGCTCCTAGAAAATAAAATAATGTGTAGAGTGGAAAGAATACTGAGGACTCCTTTATTCCACATTTTATAAATGTTGTAAAAGTATTGTTCCACAATTTACAGAGGAACAACCTGAGACCCACAGAAATTCACCATTTGAGTCACCATTTGATGGTGACAATCTATCCACAAACCCGGGACTCAACTTAGTCCAATGACTTTAACCCATTTAATTCCAACCCACATCAACAATACCAACTAACCCCTTGACTGAAAAATCTATCTATATTAATAAATTTCAGAATGTACTTGATTATCATGATCCAGGTCTGTGGATCAATCTGGCTGATTTTTTTCTTCCTACCACAAATCACTATTCCACTTGAATTCAAGCCCAAGGTACAGAATTAGTTTAATGCATTTGAATATACAATTCAAAACACTGTTGCTCTGGTAAGGCAGGTTCACATACACGAATAATAGTTTCTGTTTGATAAGTCCTCTATAAATCACCCTGAAAATCCTCAGAAAAACTGTTCTAGGAAAAGAAGGATATTCTATGACTGGTGTTACTAAAAAAATCTTCATGCCCCTGACCCTGTCCAAGTGCCTCCAGTTTCTTGCACACAGTAATGGTTCCATAGGCGTTTGTTGACTTAGTCTTCTGAATGGAGCTAATTCATCTTTTCCTTCCATAGCTAGCAGGTGCTTCATACAGACAAAGTAGGTGCAGAATCCCTACAACATGAGCAAGAGGAGCCCAGGAAACTGCACTTTTCATAAGTTTTTAAAATGGTCAGTGAACTAAGAGTGTACACTCTAAAGCTTCCACTGTATGTGGAGTTGAAAAAGTATTGCCGTATTGATACCAGGAAGGGCACCAACCAGCCATTCATTTCCTCTCGGCTGGTTTTCCAGCAGGCATACTTTATCCCTCACAAACCAGATGCTTCTGGTCACACCTCTTGTGCTGACATCCAGAACACCAAACAGGTTGTGCTTGGTAAACCATCTGATGAAGCAGTAGAGTAAACGAAGAGCCTGAGATGTTACAAATTGCAGGAGGTTCTATAGAGAAGACAAAGTCTTTTCCTACAGGAAATGCGGAGATGTGGTGATTTATGGACCCATCATTGTTTGTGCTCATAATGAGAAACCTGTTGCTTTCAGACCTAAATAAATGGTTCCATAGAAGCGTGAGGATGACCATGACATGAATTTGCCTCTCATTGGAGATTCTGTCCTTCCATAGGACCTATCCCCCTTTCCAGCTGCACTGCAAGATATGATTTGCATGTGCAATATTAATTTTTTAAATTGCTAGTCATTTTTCTTTAAAATATGTCATTTCCTTCAGTAGTGCCTGGTACTTTAAGATTTATCCATTCAATTAACATGAATAATCAAAGAATTTTTAAGAAAGCAAGTGATTTTTTTCCTCTCAAATCCCGTTGGATTTTGCAACAAGAATCATTTGCAAAGGATTGTGCTTAAGTAGATGTTCTGTAATGCCAAAATGTTATTTTTCAAATAAAGATAAATTTTTAATGTGGAGCTGTATCCCATTTCTAGCATGCAATAACTTTCACTTGAGATAATAAAAAAATAACTTAAAGACTTCCATTTGTGCTAGATGCTTTGATATTACTGTTTATCAATATGCTGACATACTTAGCTATAATGTAAACATGATTTTTCTTCAGAAATGCCAAGTTTTTTCAATAATTTAGAATAATTAATCAAATGATATTCCAAATTCTTTCTTAAGGCAGACAATGGACCCATTACATCTGGGCATCAGGCCCTATGACCAAGAGCTGTCCGTGAACTGTTAGTAATGAGATGGGGTGGGTGGGAACTGTCACCCATGATATATCCAAATTCATGTAATAATGGGTCACCTTGTGTTTTCTCAGAATTCTAATTTAATTCTTTTATAAGAATCTAATTCTTATAAAAGAATTCTTTTTAATTTAATTCCTTTTAACAGTCATAGCAAATGAAAATGTCTATTTTGACAATTCACACACAGAATTGTCTTCAACCCACTGAAGTATCTAAAACCAAATGGATTGAAAACCAAAAGAGAAGTTAATTTTTGTCTGAAACTAATATTTAAGTTTCAAAATGCCTTTTGCAGAGATTATTCCATTGTACTGTCCCAGCCAACATGTGAGGCTCATGTCATTCATTCCTTCCTGCTTTCACTCATTTACACAGTACAGTCAAGTCTGATGACTGGTCAGTGACTTTTCTACCACCTGTGCTCACAGCAATGAACAATGCACAAAACCCTTCGGTCCCTGGGAGAAGTCATTCTAGTGAGGAAAGAGACAATAAGCAACAACAGAAAGAGGTAAAACATGTATTATTAGGTGCTCTTGAGTGCTAAAGAGAAACATAAAGTTTGCATGGGGAGTCCAAGGGGTTGTGGTTTAAGATAGGGTGGCCAGGAAAGCCTTGCTGAGATAGCGGCATCTGAATAGGAATGAAGGTGGTCGGCTACTGAGATGGTTATTTGGGAGAGCAAGAATCCCAGGCAGAGGGAATAACAGGTTCAAAGGTCCTAACAGTACCCCAACAGCTGTGCCTGTGGAATTAGAAGGAGGCGGGTGTGGCCGGAACATAGAGAGCCAAAGGGGCAAGGTAGGAGTGGGGAGAGGACAAGACAGAGAGGGAACAGGGATCACAGCTTACAGGTCACTAGACAGGTGTGACTTAGACTCTGATGGAAAGGAAGGTTCTGAGTAGAGCCGTGACGGGAGCTGGCTTTCACTGAACAGGATTACTCTGGCTCCTACTGAGAAAAAAAAATGTGCTGCAGGAGCAGGGAAGGGTTGGAAGCAGAGACTAACTTAGAAACTATTGCAGTTACTTTGGTGTGAGAGGATGGGGGCTCCTTTACGCAGGAAACAGTCAAAGAGGATGATAAGGAAACAGTGAGCTTCTCTGCATCTTGATATCGGTATTTATTAAAAAGGGAGAGTCACAGCTAAGATAGTTGGCAGGTGAGGGGTAGTGCATGCCAGGGCCAGGACCAGGGCGATACTGGATGCCTCAGGAATGGCTGCTGCCACAGCTCAGGTCGGTTGGTCTGGAGGGCTTCCTTTTTATGTTCGCCCTGTTGTGCCTGCACGGTGCTCTCATTAATGCTGTGATTTAAACCCCTATCTTCACACTTAATGCCTCATTTGGACATTGCCCATCTGCGGCACTAAACTGGAATATTCTTTTGGGCAGGTACCACATCTTCTTCCTCTTTCATTATCAGCACCTAACACACAGCTGGATACACAGTAGACTCTGTTTGAGCTGGGCCTCCTGTTGAATGAAAGAGAACTTATAAGGCCTAGGGGCAAATAGATCTCTTCACTCATCTCCAACAGGTATATGTTATCATCACACCTTCCTTGTTTCTTTTCCAATTAAATTAATATTTAGAGTGGTATTAACTTTCTCAGATGCGGGGGGGAGGGGTGATAACAAGAGGTCCCAAAAGAGAAAGAGCAGAAAGAACACTAGGTGAGGCTCTAGAAAGATCTAGGTTCTAAGCCATTATCCACCCATTAGTGGATGTGTGACCCTGAGCAAACCATTTAACTTCTCTAAAGCCCAGATTTCATATCTGAAAATTGAGGATAATTATATTTGTCCTAATTTGAGAGTGGGAAGAATCAAATGATACCTATAGTACATGCTGAAGAGCTTTGTAGCATATCCTGGACTGAGCCATTGCCGCCTAAAGGTGATGTGTACTTGAGAGCCGTAGTATGGGATACACAGTAATACTGTTTCTTGTATTCAGCTGAAGGAGAAATCCTGGTTATATGATCATTTGTAAGGTGCTCACTTTTATGATACGTTGGAAATTATATGCACTTGCATGCTGTGTATTAATTCTTTTACATAGTGATTAAAAATGTAGACTCATGCCATAAAAGATAAAGCCAAATTCAAGATTGCAAGCATAATTCTAATGGAGAGTACGTTAACAAGTCCACATTTTCACTTACCTCCCTGTGGAAAGAACTGTGAGTAAATCTCTTTGAAGGTTTCTTCATTAACAACACCACTGGGACATTCCTAAAGAAAGTGGTAGAGAAGCAATATGAGCAAAGTGTTCATAAAACTGATTTTTTTGCACATTTTGAAATGAAACTGTCTATTGCGCAAAGCTGCACCAAGGAAAGTGAAATATCCATCCATTTTTCAAAGGGAATAAAAGCACACAATAAACTCTTCTTTGTTCCAGGTACCACAGAATGAAAAAGAAATTACAGATGTAAAGATCTTCACATATTATAAATATTAAAGCCATGCTGACACATGAAAAAACACACCATTGCTTTTAAGGATACAAATGTTTATTATCAACAAAGTAAGAGGAAATTACATTGTTTTTCATACATACAGGAATGGTATCACAAGATGATTATGATGTGCTCTTTGCTGAATCTTGGTGCCATGTTTCTCTGGTGATTTGCTGGACCCACAGTACCTTTAGTTCAGTGAGAAAATGGTATACTCCATGTGGGAGTGGTGCAAGGAGGAATAGTTACTAATTTCCGTTCAGAGTGTGTTCAGGAGTGCATAATAGCATGGTTTGTAACAGGTCACCTTGAGTGAGATAGGACCGCAAGATCTTTTTAACTTCTGGAGAGGAGGGTCTGAAAAGAAAGAGTCCTGAACATAAAGAATTTCCATTTTTGTTCCACAGGTGGAGTTACTTTTCAGACTGATGGATACTGACCTTCAGAACTCCACTAATGTTGGACCACTGACCTTGTGGGACAGAGGGCAAGGCTACCTGTACCAGAGTGGATCGGGCATTTTCTACAAAAGGAACTGAAATCTTAAATGTTAGAAGAGGTCTGTCTTGGTGCTGAAAATGAAGATTAAGAGAATCATAGACAAAGATGAGAGCAAAATTTCCTCCACTCTCTGGAGTTAAAGAATGTTCTGGTCAGGAGTCTGAGGTGTAGAGACTCATGAAGCAATATTATGTAACAATCTGACAGTAAGTCACATATGGGATGTTAATTGTACATTGCCTGTGGCGAGATGATAAACTCTGTCCAGTATTTTTGAGTGGCTCCTCAGGAACAAACAGCTCCACTTTACCTGTCTCAGCTGTCATGGTGCTCCCATGCTGTCTGGCTCTCCCCAGGATTCACTGGGGAGCATCAAGGGTATGTTAACTTCCCTGCCCTGAGATACAGATATTCTGTGTACTTTAAATTTGACACTGTTCCTGGCGTCTTAAAAAAATCATCTGTTGTGGTGTTAAGGCTTCTCCTAATCCTCAAAATCATTGCCCCCTCATGGATAAATTTAATTTATTAACTTGATCTTTCTTTATTCCAATGAGCCTGTTACTTCACAACTAAAATGTGCCTTACATGAGAAGTTTTCTATTTTCTCACTCATTGGTTTGAAAGGTAGGACCTTTGATATATGAACACAATTTAAAATAATGCCTTCAATGTGAACTTGTGTTTACAGAGCTTGTCAATGTATATTTTTCCCATTTGATCATTATAATAGACCTATGACTTAGGTGTCCACATTCACGGAGGCAGAACTGAAGGTTCTGTGGTCATGTTCTAGCCAGTGGGGGAGCTGGAATGTGGGCTTGAGACTCTCCAGATCACCGCAAGATTTGGGATTAGATGACCCTTGTAAAAATAATGACCCCCAAGTGCCCAAGAGGATCATATCAAAGAAAAGGCAATCAAAAACAAATGAGAAGAAAAGCAGTTAATTTTATTTTTAAAATTGTTTACAGTTAATTTTATGTTTGTGTTATTTTATGTTTAAATTTGTCTGGGCCACAATGCCCAAGTACTTGGTCAAACATTATTCTGGATGTTTCCATGAGGGAATTTTCGATGTGACTGACATTTAAATCAACAACATTTGAGTAAAGTTGATTGTCCTCCATATTTTGGGTGGGCCTCATCTAAGCAGTTGAAGATCTAAATAGATGAAAGACTAATCTCCCCTGAGCAAAAGGGAATCCTGTACAGAAGCCTGTACCTTCTGACCTGATCCACAACACTGGCTTTTCTTGGTTCTATGGCAGATGGTCTTTGGACTCCAACTATAACTTTTTCCTGAGTCTTCAGCTTGTCTGCCTCCCCCATCAGATTTTGAACTGGCTAAGCCTCCACAATCATGTAAGCCAATTACTTAAAATAAATCTCTTCCTGTATATAGGTACATCTCTTAGTTCAGTTTTTCTAGAGAGTCCTAAGATATAAATGAATGAACAGTCACCAACTATAACCTCAAAAGGAAAAAAAGGGCATGTATCTAGCTAATCACTCAAAACTTTTAACTACATGACTCTTATTTGGCAGCAACAGAAACAATTTTAAGAGCAAATGAACACTTGTAGTTGAGCCCTGTACATATGGAAATTGTGATTTATTGGCTATTTAATTCTGAGCCATCTGCTTGGGATAGCAAGAAGAGAGCAATTGGATGACTGTGTCATCGGCTGTGAAAGGTCAAGCTGGAAACCTATCTGGGAGGTAAAATGGCTCTTGTGAGTGGTGAAGATGGGAAGTAAAGGGACATCTGCCCTCAGCAAACTTGTCAGCTGCCTTTGATCTCTAGCCATGTTTGATAGATACATCTTATAACATGAAATGAAATTTAGAAATTGACTGCCTCAGATGTGTTTATATTCAAACACATGTCTGTGTCAGGCAAAACCCTCTCTGCCATCTGGAAGCTCCTGGCCATGTTTTGGGTGGTCAGCCTTACCAGGTGAAGTTGTCTTTATCTATCTTGCATTCATTACATCAGTTTACATCTTTAACATTACATCAGTTTACATACATAGTGTATGCTTATTTTTCTAGAATGTTTCAAGAAAGTCAGGGCAACAGCAATAAACACATCAAAGGCCTTGTCCTCATGAGGCCTCCATCCAAGTAGAAGAAGAAAGTTCAAAAATAAGTCAAAAGAGGTAAAAGTAAGTCCAGAGAGTGATGATCTTTTGTTTATTCTTAAGAGTTCTTATGGAAAAGCAATGCATGTTACTACATTCAGGTGAGAAAAATTAACCAAATTCTATAGGACTCTAGGGACTTAAGAAATGGTACAAATGATCTATTATCTACCTTTTCCCTCACCTCTTTTGTGGAATGGTATGTCTACCTCTCCATCAAGAATGGATTTGATCATGCTGTGTATACAGCCAAATGTATGCCATGAACAATGTAGCTATATTGGGTTAACTCCTGCTGCCGTAACATTAGCAAACAGGCCCCCAATTATATAAGTTTAAAAAAATGTAGTGTATTTCTTGCTCATCTAACCATCTAAATTGATGGTTCTTCCCAGAATCTTTAAGGGACAGAGGCAAATGAAAGCTTGGCCATCAGAGGGGGTTCTAGAGTCCATGGATGGTCTCATCCAGCAGGAGAAAAGGACCACTGAGGAGCTTCTGTGGGAGGTGCCTATGGGCCAGGTCTTAAAGTGCAAAGGGCTATACATAATTTCCACTCTCATTTTGTTGGTTAGAAATCACTTAATACATCCACCCCAAACAGCAAGAGAACTCTTGTGTGCCCAGGAAGAAGACCAGACTGTGGATTTGGTGAATGATTAGCAGTGTGTGTCTCAGAGATGCTCCAAGTGTCTGTGCTCTGAAATTTTCTCCCACTGAAGCTTTAACATGACCATCATCAAATCACTCAGCAGTATCAATTCCTCTGGTGACATTTTAAATGGATGATACTTTTTTTTTCAAATAATACAGTTTATTTCCAACATGTTCCTTTTCTTTTTTTGTTATTTTTATTAATATATAATGTTTTAGCACCTTTAGTAAGTCCTACACATCTGATTATGGATTTATTCATTAGGTTCTCTTCACTCTAAGAGGAAGGATCTAAGCAGTGGTAGAATTCTTAGATTTAGGGAAAGTGAGAAAAGCTTCACTCATCCACTTTGGGAAGTTATTATAAGCTTCTATAAGCCCAATGGCTTCTGTATTATGGTTTCTGGTGACTTTTTGTCTGATTATTAAAAAATGATCATTCTGCAAAAATTTACTATCTGTAGAAAAGGATAAGGAAAGGCACCTCAGTGACTCAGCTGGTTAAGCTTCTGCCTTTGGCTCAGGTCATGATCTCAGGGTCCCAGGATCTAGCCCAGTGTCTGGCTCCTTGATCAGCAGGGAACCTGCTTATGTCTCTGCCCCTCCCCGCAGCTGGCTCTCTGTCTCTGTCTCTATCTCTCTCTCTCAAATCAATAAATAAAATATTTTTAAAAAAAGAATAAGAAAACAAATATTGCCCATAATTATACTACTGTAAAGTTATTTTGGTAATGTATCTAAGCATATTAATTTAAAATTGGAGAAAATTTTGATGTGAATTTGATACAATTTGATATGAATAAAATTGGGATAATACAATAGTTTTACATCTTATTGTTTTGCAGCCCCTTATTATATTTTTAACTTAACAATACATCCTGAACATTTTTCATGTCATTATTTTTAATGGCAGCCTAATTATGTGCACATTGAATTTATCATATTGTTGGATACTAAGGACATTTCAGCATTGGGGGACTACATAGGAATAAGGACGTAATTAATAGTCTAGCACAAACAGCTGATTGCACCTAAGGTTCTTTCTTAATGACTAACCCAGAAGGAGAATCCCTAGACCAGAAGGTTTAAGCAGTCATGAGGTTCTTTACAAACACGGTCACACTGCTTTCCAGAAAGGCTGCACTGGTCTGTACCCCTGCCACATGTTTTTGAGAAAGCTTCACGTCTATATGTGCTGGCCAGAATCACATGGGGATTTGACATGCACCAGATCCCATGAACATACACCAATAATTTGCTTCCCTCATGAACCTAATCATCACTTTGAAAATTATCAGAGGGCATCAAGGCATTTGTGCAGATTCCTCCAAGGGATAAATTGATGTGTGTGTTTTTCAGGCAGACAGGATGTTTTGAGGGAAATCTGCTGGACCACAGTACCACAACCACAGACATTTACTGAGCCTATATTCAAGGCTTTCTTACATACAGTGTTTAACATTTTCACTAACCC